ATAGATCTCGCCAAAATAAACGTTTTTTACTTATACACCCATAGGCGCATGCGCTTTGGTTAGGTAATAATAGCACATTACAGTCCGCACTGTGGTAGCCACCTTGCACACGGAGAAACGTGTTTGAATAAGCAGAACTTGTGTTATTAAGGGCCGAATTTATAGTTGTTCCTTGGCTCTTCCTTGAAGGTCGTGAGTTTAGAATGGACACTTGCTATTATTTGACAAGTTAGTCATGGCAATTCTAAACGTTCAAGGCTTCCTTAAGGTCTGAGGAAACCTCAAGGAGCGACTATAAATTTAGCCCTAAATAATACAGAACCCAAAGAATGCTTGTAGTATTTATTTAAAATAATAATTCACATCAAAAGATGCTCAAAACTACGACTACGCGCCTTAATACATGTGTAACAGCGTTGTAGCAGAAATATCGAGTAGATTTCTGCAGGAAACCCTTCCCGAAACTGTTTCCCTGTATGCCAGACAAAACATAGGGTACCAACACGACAGACCACCACTACATTACTTGTTAGCCTTAAGAGAACATCTCAATGAAACATCTGGAAAGAGTGATTGTTAAGGGGGCATGGACTCCACGTTCACCAGACCTGACGGAACGCGACTTTTTTTTTATGGGGTCATATGAAAGCTCTTGTTTACGACACTCCAGTTGAAACAGCTAGAGGAAGTTAGTAGGAAGGATTGTTGCAGCTGCTGAAATTCTCGAAACACCATGAATTTTTCAACGTGTTCAGGAGGCTATGCTACGGCGCTGTCGCGCACGTATGGAGGTGGGTGGTCGTAGCTTTGAGCATCTTTTGCTGTGAATCATTGTTTTTAGTAAATACTGCAAGCATTCCTTGGATTTTGCATCATTTAATAACACAGTTTCTGCTTCAAACACGTTACTCCGTGTGTAAGGTAGCTACCACAGCGCGACCTGTAATGTTCTATTATCACATAATCAAAGCGCATGCGCCTATGTGTTTATAAGTAAAAAACGTTTATTTTGGCGCGATCTATCATTCCTTAATTTTTGGCACAATAGTTTCGGAACACCCTGTATAATATGTATGTCGCAGGCTTAATGTAAAATCAGTCTTATTATAATACGCCGAGGCTTTCTCAATACGACCAGGCATATCGTAATACTTTAAGACTTTCACAATTAGACTAGTAATTTCAGTCGTATTATAATACGCCTGCTGCGTGTTAGTCTTATTCTTTAAATGAACCTGCATTAGAATCCGACTAGTTGAAATCCGTCGTATTATAATAGGACTGACAGTGTGCCAGTCGAATAATATTAACTATTATTGTTGATTAGTTTCATTTCTGTGTAATATTTGTGCCTCGATTTGTGCAAAATATTGAAATTAAACATGAGTGCTGATTTATCTAATGTATTTGTACATAAAGGCAATTATTATGAAAAACTAGAAAAATTTTATAACGGTAAGATATCCATAAACGTATACATAACCTCAAAATGTGTATCTTTTTCAGAACACGCACAAAGTAGCAAAAAGTCATGGACAAAATGAGGGAAATGAGTGATATTTTAATCAGTTCTCGTGAAGCAAAAGATAAAGGAATTAAAAGAAATAATAACGAGCAGTATTTCTCACGTATTTACGAAGGCTCCGGTTCAAAAGAGCGATATTTAAAATGGCGGCATCAAAAAAGCGACATATCAAAATAGCGACATATCAAAATAGCGATATTCAAAACAGCGGCATATCAAAACAGCGACATTCAAAACAGCGACATCTAAAAAAAACAGCGACATATCAAAAGAGCGACATTCAAAAGCGCGATACTTTAAAACAGCAACATATCAAAAGAGCAGGATTTAAAACGGCGACCCCTGAACAAAAGAGCGATACATCAAATTGAATCAATAATAATCAAGAAAATGCAGACTTACTCAAACTAGCCCGTCCGCCTAGTGCGATCTAGTCCTCGTAAGTTAGCATTTTATTTGAAAAACAAAGTTAATTTAGTTATATTGAGCGTCTCTTGAGCACACGAATCAATATTAATCATAAAAATGCAGACTTACACAAACTAACCCGTCCGCCTAATGTGATCCAATCCTCGTAAGTTAGCATTTTATTCGAAAAACAAAGTTAATTTAGTTGTAGCGTAGCATCTCTTGAGCACACTTTGCATATTCTTGATTATTATTGGTTTCAATTTGATTTCATAATGCAGACCTACTCAAACTAACCCAGGATAACCCGTCCGCCTAGTGCGATCTAGTCCTCGTGAACATTTTATTTACAAAAAACAAAGTTAATTTACTTATAGCATAGCGTCTTTTGATCGCGCTTTGTTTTTTAAATAAAATGCTAACTTACGAGGACTAGATCGCACTAGGCGGACGGGTGAGTTTGGGTTAGTTTGAGTAAGTCTGCATTGCGACATCAATTCGAACCAATAATAATCAAGAAAATGTAAACTTGCTCAAATGAACCTGAAATAACCCGTCCGCCTAGTGCCATGTAGTCCTCGTGAGCATTTTATTTAAAAAAAAATAAAACAAAGGTAATTTACTTATAGCGTAGCGTCTTTTGATCGCGCTTTGTTTTTCAAATAAAATGCTAACTTACCAGGACTAGATCACACTAGACGAACGGGCTAGTTTGAGTAAGTCTGCATTTTCTTGATTATTATTGATTTAAATTGATGTGTTGCTCTTTTGTTTAGATGTCGCTTTTTTGATATGTCGTCCTTTCGATATGTCACTGCTTTGCTTAGATGTCGCCGTTCCAAATGTGGCGCTTTTAATATGTCTCTCTTTTGATAAGTCCTTGTTTTAATTTGTCGCTCTTTTTAAATGTCGCTGTTTTGAATGTCGCTGTTTTGATATGTCGCTGTTTTGAATTGTCGCTCTTTTTAAATATCGCTGTTTTGAATGTCGATTAAATGAGACCGCCGTTTTGAATATCGCGGTTTTGAATATCGCCCTTTTGAACCGGAGCCATTTACGAAACTATGGAAATAGGTGGGACTAGAAATGTTATCAAAAAAAGGACTACAGAAAATGATGCCATTACTTTTATAATTCCCTATGAGGAGTTTTATAACAAGTTAGTTGAAATTCATATAAGTACTGGTCACGGAGGCCGCGATAAGATGTTAATAGCTTTGAAACCTAAGTATGCAATTCCCAGGCCAGCAGTAGAAATATTTGTTCGGTGCTGTACAACCTGTGCTGAAAAAAAAACAGCTTCCTAAAAAAGGTTTAGTAGTCAAACCCATTTTATCAAAAGATTTTAATCATCGAGGACAAGTTAACCTGATAGATTTGCAGTCAACGCCGGACGGAGAATACAAGTGGTTAATGAACTACCAAGATCATCTTACAAGATTTATTCATCTGAAACCTTTGAAGTCTAAGAGTGCGAAGGATGTATGCGAAAAGCTTCTAAAAATTTTCTTAGAATTTGGATCACCACTCGTCTTGCAGAGTGACAATGGCAGAGAATTTGTCAATCATTTTATTCATGAAATGGTTGCTAAATGGCAATCTTGCAAGATTATCAATGGACACCCGAGACACTCGCAAAGTCAGGGAAGTGTAGAAAGGTCAAACCAAGATTTAGAAGACATGCTTAAAGCTTGGTTAACAGAGATAAAAGAAATTGGTCACTGGGTTGCTATTTCGTTCAATGGCAAAAAAATTCTTCCTATCACAGGATCATTAAACGTTCTCCATATAAAACTTTATTTAGGGTGGATTTCCGAGTCGGTTTGTTTTCTACTAATTTACCGTCTGAAATTGTTAAAACTATAAATTCAGAAGACGATTTGGAAACAATTGTAAATATCTCTTCATTTCCAGGAAGCTCAGAAGGTACTTCAGAAGATCATTAAGAAACATCAAATGAAGTAAATAATGTCTTAGCTAACTTACAAATCGATGTTTACCAAGAAATTGAATCCGCGTTCGCAGTGACTGATGTAAATAATACTGATACCGATAACAGCACACAGATAAAAATAATACTGATGACAACATACTTGTCAATAAAAATTATGCAAGATAATACTCGCACCTATGATTTAGAAAAATCGAGAGAAGAATATATTCTAGACAATTTAGAGGCAAATCATGAAGTAAAAATACTTTACATTGGCAATGAAAATACCAATGAGGAATTCGCGAAGAAAGATAATGGAACTGCCCAACTGAAATTTGTTAGTAACAATAAAAATATTGCTGACATTCCCACACAAAAATTTATAGAATGTGTGTTTCGGTTTGGTAGAGTTCATGATATTCATTGTAATTATTGACATTGTGCGTTTTGATATTTGAATTACGCGCGATCTAACGTTCATTATCCGCGTTCTGACAGCCAGCTGTGCGCGTTTGGACTTCCTGCCGCGCGCGCACAACCTCCCGAAGTTCAATCCTACACAACGACAACGAGGAAGGAGTCGATTCGCCGCCATCATAGAATAAGCAATGCCGACCATGCCGTGCCGAATTCTATGAACACTCTATGGTTCAAGTAAGTTCGGTTACGTTAAGATTCACATTCACAATTTTATTGCGCATTCAGTTGACCAGCTCAGAGGTCATTTTACTAGTATACAGTCCGCTATCTGTTCAGTAGTGTTCATTTTATTTTCGAAAGTACCATTTTGAACCAGCAAATCCAACATTTGGTCACTTCTCACCGGATTATTTTCGAAAAATATCGTGTACCGCGTATCCATACGTACATTTGACATTCAATCGATCAAAATAAAAGTGTTCAGTGCTCCAAGGAGGAAAACAAGGCAACAGGAAGGATTTAAATCAATGTAAGTCCGTTCCATGATCATTTTCCTATTCCCATATAAATCACAACAGGTAGACTCAATTTGTTCAATAATTAATTTGCACATTATCTACGTATTCACAAGGTTCATTTGTTAAAGGTGTTTGAAACAAGTATCAAATATTCCTTTTTGTGTTCACAAGTTTATTGTTACACATATTTTGCAAGATGGGTCCTCCTAGTGACAACGAACTAGAGGAACAATTTCAAGACAAGTTAAAAGAATTAGTTTTTCATCGTGGGCAGATAAAATCACATTTAACGCGATTTAGTTCATTTGTAAACGCTTTTTATATTGCAAACAAGTCGGCAACAGAATTGGAAAAAAGATTATCAACAATCGAATCATATTTTAATAATTTTGATTCTGTTCAAAGTCAAATTGAATTATTAACTAACAATGATGATAAACAATTACAAGAAAGGGTTACATTCGAAGAAGCTTTTTATAGCACTGTTTCTTCAGCTCAAGATATTATTAATAACCATAGAAAGGTAAATACTCCAGTTCAAAGTCCAGTTCAAACTCCATCACCAGTTCAAAATGTTCAATGTGGGACATCCTTGCCTTCAAACTCACGATTGCCCAATGTACAACTCCCACCTATAAAGATCGCAAAATTTAGTGGTTCATTCAGTGAATTTATGCAATTTTATGACACTTTTGATTCTCTTGTTCATCAGAATCAAACATTGACCAAAGTACAAAAATTTTATTATTTAAAATCATACTTACGGGGTGATGCTCTTAAAGTAGTTCAATCACTTGAAATAACTGATTTAAATTATGACATTGCATGGGACTTATTGAAAAAGAGATTTCAAAACAAGAGAGTAATTATTAATTGTCACATAAAGTCACTATTCGAGTTAGAAAACATTCCGAAGGAAAATTCCATTGCTTTAAGACACTTTTCTGATACATTGATGAAAGATTATCGTTCCTTAAAAAATTTGGGAGAATCAGTAGAACAATGGGATTCGATTTTAACTTACCTGTTAGTTTCTAAACTTGATTACTTTAGCAGACGAGAATGGGAAAATTTAATTAAGGATCATATCTCTATGCCAAAGTTCAATGAATTTACAGACTTTTTAGACAGCCGATGCCAGTTCTTAGAAACTGTACAAAATAATAATTCTTCAAATAATAATTCTTACATTAGGCAAAAACTTAAAAACCCAAATTCACAATATTCTCATTTGTCAACTGGAGGTATCAAATGTTTTTATTGCAGAGAAAATCATTGCCTTTATGCATGCGAAAAATTTCTAAATCTTTCAGTTCAAAACCGTATGAAAGAAGTCAAAAGATTAAATATTTGTAAGAATTGTCTAAGATCAAGTCATAACTATGAATGTACAGGCCAGTGCAAAAAATGTAATTTAAGGCACAACACTTTATTACATATTGATGGTAATTTTTCAACTCAAAAGGAGCCAACTGTAAAGTTCTCTGAAAATCAAAACAATTCAAAAGTTCAACGTGTTTCACAAAGTCCAATGAGTAGTGTTTTTGATTCTCGACCAAATCAAAGTAATTTTTCTCAAATTAATGACAATATTTCTCAATTTAACAATGACAATTTTCAAAATAATAATGTTCATGCTCAAGATCACAGTTTTGATGTTCAAGATTCAGTTCAGAGTCAGTCTAATGAATTGTTTTCTGCTCATTCTAGTATCAATAATCAATCCATTTTTAAATCCAATGATAATGTTCACATTTTGCTGGGAACAGCTAACATTTATATTGAAGATAATTCAGGAAATTTCAAAGTAAGTAGGGCCTTGCTCGATGGAGGTTCTCAGACCAATTTTATAACTACAAAGTTAGCCAAAAGGCTGCAAGTTAATACAAGTAAAGTTAATTATCCGATTATAGGAATCGGACAAACTCAAACTAAAATCAACGAAGGTATAGAAGTCAAAATTCATTCAATGTACAATAAATTCACTAAATCATTACCATTTCTATTAATAGATAAAATAACAGGTCAAATTCCACAAACAACTTTATCTATCAATGTTTCTAAATTAAATATTCCAAAAAATATTATATTAGCAGATCGGCAATTCCATTTACCTCAAGATGTAGACATTTTACCAGGAACTTCAGTATTTTATGAACTTTTGACAGGGAAGCAAATAAATCTAGGAAAAAATATGCCAACTCTCACAGAAACAGCTCTTGGCTGGATAATCGCAGGACCTTTGCAGGTCAATTCTATTAAACCAAGTTTAAATATCCCAAACTCTCAGTGCTTTATGACAGTTGCCAATCCTAGCAATGCACAAGTTCAGTCTTTATTAAGAAAGTTTTGGGAGATTGAAAATGTTCAGATGAGTGCGCCATTTTTAAGTAAAGAACAGTTTTGTGAAAATCATTTTTTAAGTACACATACTAGAGATAAAACAGGGCGTTTTGAAATTACGTTGCCATTAAAAGAAAATTATATCAAATTAAATGATAATTTTGACACAGCAAAGAAACGTTTTCTAAATATTGAACAGAAATTGATTCAAAATCCAGGTTTAGGTCTATTATATAGACAATTTATGTTAGAATATGAAGCTTTAGGTCACATGACCAAGTTATCTGATTCACAAATTAAAAATGATGTAGATATAAAATATTATTTACCTCATCATGGGGTGTACAAAGAAAGTAGTCAGACGACAAAGTTACGGGTTGTTTTTGACGGCAGCTGTAAAAGTTCAAGCGGTCTATCATTGAATGATGTTCTCTGTGTGGGACCTGTAGTGCAAGATGATTTGTTAAGCATTTTACTACGTTTTCGTAAACACAAGTATGTCATGAAGGCTGATATCACAAAGATGTACAGACAAGTAATGGTAAATCCAGGACAACGTCATCTACAGCGTATCCTATGGCGTCCTAGTCCTGAACAAAACATTTCTCATTATAATTTGAATACTGTTACCTATGGCACATCATCCGCTTCATTCCTTGCAATAAGAGCTCTACGTCAAGCAGGCATTGATAATCAAGACAAATTCCCCGAAGCAAGTCAAACCATTTTATCAGACTTTTATTGTGATGATTTAATATCAGGTTGTGATATACATGAAAGACTCCTAAAAATAAAGACAGACATTTCTGAAATTTTACAATCAGCAGGTTTTGTTTTAACTCAATGGATGTTTAATGAAAAGGAGTCCCATCAGCAAAATTTTAATTTTTCAGACTCAAATCAAAATGTAAACTCAGACCTAGCAGTCCGAGCACTTGGCATTATTTGGAATCCGAACAAAGACACTTTTCAATATTCATTTAATATAAAATTAAATTCTCAATTAACCAAAAGAACAGTGCTTTCAATCATTAGTCAAATATTTGACCCACTAGGACTCATAGGTCCAATTCTCATTAATGCAAAGATTATTCTCCAACAATTATGGAAATTGCAATTAGACTGGGATGACATAATTTCTGAATCTCATCATACCAATTTCATGAGTTTTTTCCAGGATTTAAAGTCTATAGATGAAATATCAGTTCCTAGGCATGCAGTTATTTCAAACTACATCACGTTGCAATTGCATGGATTTACTGATGCTTCAATGGCAGCTTATGGAATATGCATTTACCTTAGAACTATAGATTCCTTTAGTAAAGTATATTGTCAATTCCTATGTTCCAAGTCACGCGTAGCTCCTATCAAGACAGTTTCATTACCAAGATTAGAACTTTGTGGGGCTGTGCTCTTATCTGAATTTGTCAATAATGCTATTAAATCACTAAAATTAAACATAGATTCAAACAGTGTCTTTCTATGGACAGATTCACAAATTGTCCTATCATGGATATCTCAAGAACCATATAAATGGAAAGTATTTGTGTCAAACCGTGTATCAAAAATACAATCTTTAACAGAAATAGATTGTTGGCGATATGTGTCAACTTTGCACAATCCAGCTGACATCATATCACGAGGTTGCAAACCTAGTGAGCTTATTCAATTAGTTTCTTGGTGGTCCGGTCCATATTGGCTTTCACTTGATCAAAAACATTGGCCTAATGATAGTACAACATACAAAACTGATTTAGAGGTTAGCTCTGAGAAGCTTTATAATGCAACGTTAGTCTCCATTTATGCTGAAAATTTTCATTTATTTTCTTATTTCTCAGATTTTAAAAGGCTTATTCGAGTCACAAGTTATTGTAGAAGATTCTTTATTAATTTGAAATTAAAGAAACAACAGTGTCCAATTTTAACAGGATCACTGACTATTGCAGAATTAGATCAAGCTACTAATGCTCTTATAATACATGTTCAGGAAATTTCCTTTCACCAGGAGTATCAATGTATAAAGAATGAAAAAACTGTATCTAGACAGAGTAAATTAATTTCTTTAAATCCTTTTCTCAAAGATGGCATCATAAGAGTAGGAGGCCGTCTTAAAAATTCTCAATTAACTTTTGATCATAAATTCCCAATAATACTACCACATAACCACCGTTTTACTGAATTGTTGATTAAAAATGAACATGAAAGCTTATTACATGGCGGAACACAAATTACCTTATCCTCCATCCGTACAAAATACTGGCCATTGAATTGTAAAAATGCAATCAAGAAGGTTATCAGACAATGTTTCATATGTTTTAAATTGAGATCAAAGACATCCACAGACAATCCACTAATGGGTGATTTACCTTCGTGTCGTGTGAAACCTTCACGACCATTTCTTTGCACTGGTGTCGATTTTGCTGGTCCTATCCTAGTGAAGGACGGAACTTTACGGTCAAGAAAATTAGTTAAGTCCTACATTTGTGTTTTTGTTTGCTGTGCCACAAAGTGCATACATTTAGAATTGGTAGGAGATTTATCTAGAGATATGTTTTTAAACGCCTTTAAAAGATTCGTTTCTAGGCGTGGTCTCTGTAAGAACTTGTATTCTGATAATGGAACCAACTTTGTTGGCGCCAATAACCATCTTAAGGAAATGTACGAAAGAATTTACACCCTCAACAATGATGAGTTAGTTAAAAATTACTTTTTAGAAAATCGCATTACATGGCATTTTATACCCCCACGTGCGCCGAATTTTGGAGGTCTGTGGGAGTCATCTGTAAAATCAGTAAAACACCATTTAGTCAGAACTATCAAAGATCATCATTTAACTTATGAACATTTGTATACAATTTTAACTCAGATTGAGTCTATTCTAAATTCTAGACCCTTATGTCCTGTTTCCAACGATCCCAATGATCTTGAAATCCTGACACCTGGACATTTCTTAATCGGATCATCATTAAAATCATTGCCTGATGAAAACTACGATGATGTCAGTACTAATCGTTTAACAAAGTACCAGGAAATTCAGAAAATGTTATCACACTTTTGGAAACGATGGTCGCATGAGTACCTGCACAATCTCCAGCAAAGAACAAAATGGATGATAAAGGATCCTCAGTTGATAAAGATTGGTTTGATGGTACTTGTTAAAGAAGATAATGTGCCCCCCTT